TTCAAGTTTAAGAAATTTTTCTATTTTAAATAGAGATTATCCAGTCTAAAGAACAGAGCAAAAAGAATGAAGAAAAATGAACAGAGCCTCAGAAACCTGTGAGACACATTAAGTGCGTTAATATATATGTAATGGGACTCCCAGAATGAAAAGAGGCGACTAAAGGGCCAGAAAAAATTTAAGAAATAATGACAGAAAACTTATCAAATTTAATGAAAACCTTAAACACCTGAGAAGCTTAACAAACTACAAACAGGATAAACTCATGAAGATATATACTTAGACATATCATTGTCAAACTGTTCAAAGACAAAGGAAAAATCTTGAAAGCAGCAAGAGAAAATGACATATCACATTCAAAAGAATTTCAATAAGATTAGCAGCTAACTTCTCATGAGGAACAATGAAGGTCACAAGGTAGTAGGATGATATGCTGAAAGGAAAAATACTATCAACCAAGAATTCTATTTCCAGCAAAACTATCCTTCAAAAGGGTGATTAACAGTCCTTTGCTTTGCAAGAACAGAAATTTGATTTTGATCATTTATCTAGAATTGAAAAAAGTTATTTCTCAAGTTTTAAAATATAATTCAAATGCTACCAAAAATCCAATAACAGAGCAATAATGTTGGAATAGGTTTCTTTCTCTTTAGAAATTAGAAAATGATTTCTATCGAAAGTCATTCTAAATAAAAGAGCTCCTTTTTACCTTTAAAGAACTCATTAACTCTTACATTTTTGCCTGTGACCTTTTTATAAGATCATTTCTTTGATGGAATTCTTTACTTGTGGAATAAGATGCCCTTGAATACTTGACATTTATCCTTTCCTCAGTAGCATATTTAATGTCACTATTATAAATGACATTCAATTATGACTGTAATTCCATAAACATATACATCTCTGGGTTTGACATCTAGGAGGGAGATGATCCTTAGCATTAATACAAGGAAACCATTTTCTTAGGTTGCTGTGCTTGATTCTATTTTTAAGAACTTCTCTACACCACAACCTTATTACAGACTCCCATGAAAATAAAATTTGGTTCTAATTTGTATTCATAAAGGATATATTTTTAATAAATTTTTACCTACCTTGCTAGATCCTTATTACATTCTTAAACAAGCACATATTTGTTCCCATTCTACAGAAAAGGAAACTAAAGCTCATCAGTATAAAATTTTTTACCCAAAATTATACACCTAATAGTTGGATAGGTAAGACTAAAAGAGAATCCAAGTACTTCCATTTTAATAATTTCTAACCTTCTAAACGTCAACATAAAAATAATTTCTTAACTCTTTACTACAGGGGCAGCTACACTTTAAAAAAAAAGATAAGCACCACTACAATTTTTTTCCTCAACTATTTTACCCAAACAACTCATAATTTAGTATATAAATAGATCAATTTCCATCCAAACAAATATTGGGTCATTGACAGCAAGGGATGTTTTCTAAGGCAGAAGATTATTAGGAAAATTGAAATCAGCCTTAAAGTATTTACCTGCTGAGTTTTAAATCCCTCTTGAAATCCTGTACATTTTTAGCCTGCACTATCTCCTTGGCTAAAATGTTCCATAAGTTTTCTACTCACTGGATAAAGGAGCAGTAAGTGGAGAAAGAGAAGGCTAAATCGTAGAACAGGAACAGCAGCTCAACAAGAGTTGGCATACTAGGGAGGGACAGGTAGTGATATTGTGATTAGAGAGCACAGGAAAGTGGTGTGAGGTCAAAAGAAAAGGCATTTAGTTCTCTTCCCTTTTCTTAGATCCTTAATCCCATTGTTAACCTGTTATTTAAATGACTTTATATCCATCTCTTCTTTTTTGTTCTTATCACTTTGTGCTGACCTTATCACTTCAACCTGGATAACTGCATTGGTACCTTGTAGATTATCCCCCATTTATCCCACCCTATACCTCTCACTCTTATAAAAACTTTCTGTAAATATTATCATTACACAATAAATTTCAAATCTGTTGAGACTCTTTCAAGGCCCTATTTAATACAGCCATATCTCATATATTGACTCTCACTTTTTACCACAGATCTCACATGGAAAATGTCTTTCAATCCAGAAGGTCTCTTTAGGGTTCTACAAATACATCAAGTTCACTTATCTTTGTGTTTTGTGCCTTTCTACAGGCTCTTTGACCATCTCAACTGTGCAGTAATGACATATTGGGCTGAATAATTCTTCGTCACAGAGGGCTGTCTTGTGCATTGTGGGATGTTTAGCAGCACTTTTGGCCTCTATCCACTAAATGCCAATAGTATGCCCCACCACAAGTTGTGACAACCACATATGTCTCCAGACATTCTCAAATGTCTCCTGGGGGACAAAATCGCCCCTGGCTGAGAACCACTGATCTAAATACATGTCTCGCTTCAAGCCCTAACTCATGTCCTCTAACAAACCTCAAATTGACATAGCCCATAGCCATCTTTCCCTTTTCTAAACCTTTATGAAATACTTATTTGTTGCAAGTCTAATTTTTTTTCAATGTTTCTTGGCTACAGGTTCCATCAAAACTACATTTCATGTATATTATGTTTACAACTGAAATCCTTTAACCTGGAAAGATATCATATACTAATAATTCCAAATGATAGAACATGCTCAAATATCTTCAGAATACAACTATATGAAAAGTTGTATTTTATTTACAGCTCCTAAGAAAGCTGAAAATCAACTCATCAGTTAATGTGGTAATTCATATAACTATTTAAGTGAATGATCAGACAGAAGCATCAAATCTTAACTGCATTTTTTAATTTATTCAAAGCCATATCAAACATAGGATTTCTTTCTACTTTCTATCCACTCTATAATCCAATTATCAAAGGTTTTGGTTAATACTTAAGTAACTTAACATTTTACATTGAATTGAAATGCCAGACATTTAACTTAATTTAGTTTACATTTTACTTATTTCATAAAGAATTTTAAGCCACTTACGATCCAAATAAATATAAGTAGAAAATCTAGAACATGTAGACATCAAAAACTACAGATCATAAAGGTCAGTTTAGATGTTCACCTTTCAGCTTCCAAGAAGCAAAAGCAAGAAAGAGAAATCATTTATACATTTTATGATATTTATAAAATACCAAAAAGGATCAGGCAATATTAAAAAAAAAAAAAATTTTTTTCTATTACTAAATCCTAAAAA